TACTGCTGTGAGAAGGGTACCCAAATCAGTCATGTCTCTAGTATGAAAACAAAAAACAAGATAAATAAAAATAACTACTACATTAATATGTTAATTACTAGGTAATGCAGAAAGGTAAGTGGGATATTTAAAACTCAGAATTCAGGAAGCAATGGCATAGAAGGATAGAGTTTTCTTTTTAAGATTTATTTGTGTGTGTGTGTGTGTGTGTGTGTGTGTGTGTGTGTGTGTGTGTGTGTGTACAATGCCCATAGAGGCCAGAGGAGGGCATCAGATACCCAGGAGCCTAGAGTTAAAGGTATTTGTGAGCTGTACAACCTGAGTGCTGGGAAATGAACTCAGGTCTTCCAGGGGAGCAGGAAGCATTCTTAACCACTGAGCCATCTCTCCAGAAAGTATGGGAAGGATCCCAAGGCCTGGGAATGTGGCTCAATGGCAAAGCACTGGTCCAGTATGTGCAAGGCTGATTTGAGCCACAGCACCACACACATATCACATGTGATACACATACAGTGAGACAAACACAATCACACACACATTTCTCATGCTATCTTTGATTTGAAGGAGGAGGAGACTATTGATGAGGAATGAGGGTGGTGTTTGGAAAGAGACGGTGACCTCTGGCTGACAGCCATCAAGGAGATGGGCATCTCAATCCTTCAGGAAAAGAAGCTGAATTATGCCAACACTATAATCAAGAGCAGATTCTTCCTTCCCCCTCCTCCTACCCCCGTGAGATCTCAGCTCAGCCAACATGCTGATTTTGGCTCTGTGTGACTTTATATGGAGAACCTAGCCAAGACCTCCACCCTCTAATGTACAGAACTTTGAGACAAATAGATGTTGATATAAGCTGCTAAACCATGGCAATTTGTCACACAATAATAGATGGATATGTGTTATCTGTTATGTCTAGGCAAATGGGATTGTTGGATCTAACTCTTATCCTGAAACTTTACTGCTGTGGCTTCATTTTATTATGTATTCACTTGCATACATGCTAGTTTGCTGGACCAGGGAATATGATGTAGTCTTGTGTGGTCTTTGCCCACAGCCTTGACCTTACATTTTTGACAGCAAGATTTAGCTCCATGAATGCTGAAGTCGAGTTCATCTGCCCTGTGCGGTGATACCACTTCCATGTGAGAGATTTGCATCCACTGTTACTCTTAGAATTCTTTTCATTTAGTAGGATAAAATAGATAAACAAAAAATGCCTCGAAGGGTGTTAAGACTTAATGTTGCAGATGGGGGAAAAATCCTTCTCGCTAACGTCAGGGAAATTGTTAAAAGGTTACTGGGAGATGCAGCATTATTGCTAACCCACTCAGGCAAATGTTATGAGAAGTGTGTGCTACTTGCATATTCATGAGGAACTGTGTGCTTCTTGTATATTCATGAGGGACTTACCATTTAGCTACAGGTCAGAGCTAGAGACTGGCAGACGAGACCAAGTCTGGAAGACTGTCTGTCCTACCCGACTCCTGCTGCAACTGAGGCTGGAGTATCTCCTGAACGAACCAAGCTTTAAACATTTGGTCTAGAACAGAAAAGAAAAATATCTTCTTTGCATTTTATTTCTCCTCCTGGATATATGTATAAAAAGAGGCAAAAGTCTAAGAAAAATCACTGTCTTTAGCTTGATAGCAATCAGTTGATGCTTTCCTCAAATATGCTTGGGACGGTGGTGGGGAGAGGGCTCCATCTGAGCCTGTCACCAAAGCATGGGCACCTGAGACTGGATCCCCAGACCCCACATATAAGCTGGGTATAGTTGCTGTCTGCGACCCCAGTGCTGGTGGGGGTGTGGGAGGGGGTAGGGTGGAGACAGGAGGATCCTTGGAACTTGCTGGCCTGTCAGACTTGACAGTTGGTGAACTCTGGTTTCAGAAAGAGATCTGATTCAAATATAAGTAGAAGGATAGTGAAAGACACCTGATACCAACCTGTGGCCTCCACACACATGTGCTTGCACACCTACATGTGCACACCCTCAGAATCAAAGATGAACACAAATACACACACACACACACACACACACACACACACACACAAACACACACACACACACGATTATTTCCAAACAAATGTATGTCTTTATCCATTCTTCCCTGTTTTCATGGAAACAGATGGAACATTGAATATTGGCAATAAAACCACCCAGAACAGAGTTACAGCTGTGTGGAGGCTGGAGGAAGTCTGGAAGAGAGGGACCCCACACATATACACACACCAGGTGGGTTGCATGTTAGGGAAAAGACACTTTCCCCAGGATTCCATGGTGATTCTGTCAGGAATTGAGCTTGGTCATGTGCTCAAGATCTCCACACCTTCCCGCATCACTGCTGGGCTAGTACTGCACCAGAGGGCATTTTCTGAGCTGTCACCCAGGCCACACTCGGCTCTGTGGCTCCTGCATCAACGCGCTCACTTTGATTTCTGCAGCAAGGGCAGCTCTATGTATTCACTTCAGAAGCAACTTAGATGACAGTCCCAGGACTTGGCCGGAAGGTTCTTTTGTTCAGGGACACAGGAATCTGAATGACTTGGCACAGTCAAGAAAAGAACCTGGGACCTGGGAGAAGCAGCCATCTTTTAATTAAGCATGGAGAGAACACAGTAACTTCCCACCAGAGGGAGGGGTGCTTCCATAATATTCTGCTGGAATAGTATAACACATCAGTGAACAAGGTAGCCAGCCGCAGGGAAAGGAACTGGAGTACAGGCCCCAGGTCCTCAGGGAGTGAAGAGGACCCCAGCTCTCTGGAGCAGTCTGGTTCTTGGTCTCTGTTCAGCCTGCTTTGCTATGCATTCTGGTTGTTAGAGCAGCTGAGTTAAGAGAGGTTTGAGGAATCAGTTTATGAACACGAGGAAAATGTACCTGGAAGGGATGACCGGGCCCCTGGACCAATGCCCAGAATGTCTCATCCATCTCTCCTCTATTCCTCTGTTGAAACATGGACTCTTGGTGTGAAATTCAACCCACATCTCAGCAGAACAGAGCAGAGATGAGTGCCAGTACTCGGGCTGTTTTCTCCTTTTTCTCAGTCTGAGAGCCCAGCCCACAGAGTGGTGCTGCCATGTTCAGGGTGGGGCCCTGCCGGCTCTGGGGACACCCTTACAGATATATGCAAATGGGTGCCTTGATACTGTCCTGAGTGTTTCTCAGTCTCCTCACACTGGTCGTAAATGAGATTCCAGTGAGGCAGGGTCAGAAGGCTAGGCGCCTGTCTCAGTGACTCACTCAGATCTGGCCATATGTCAAATGTCGCGTTCCCTGGGGGGTTCTGAGTACTGAGTGACATCAGTAGGTGGGCGGCTACCTCCCTCCAGGGTGGAGTGACAAGAGCCAGTGTTGAGAACCTCCCTGTATCCAGCCACTTCTACCCTTTAATCCTCCTAGGCCCAGTCCCTGAAGGGAAAGGAAGATCGGAGAGATAGAAAGCTGCCTTGAAGGAAGGAGTGTCATCCTTGTTCCTTCCGCAGACATTGCTAGCCCTCCTAAGGCCAGGAAGGGGGACACCAAGGTCACCACCAAGAATGTTTGCAGAGAGCTGTGGGGAAGAGGTACTGGACTCTCCTGCCACCAGCACAGTCCTAGCTCTTAGGCCAGCCCAGTGCTGACGGCTGCTGTGACCTACAGATGGTCAGCAAGGACAGAGACGGCAGAATGAGCTGGTGGTCCCATGCTGCCGGGAACACTCACTACGGAACACAGCAAAGCTGGTCTCTCTGGACAGCCCAGGCCCTCTTCCTAAAGAAGTCTTCCTTGCAATATCTAAATTTCTGGTGGTTGGAGCTGAGTGAGTGACTTGGCCGGTGTTCGCCACCCAGATCTGAAAGCTTGCATTGGACTGTCTAGTCCTGCAAAGGACCTCATTGTGACGCATACTGAAGACTGAGTGGTAGGTCAGGACAAGAGCAAACGGCCAGAGTCATAACACCGCCCCTCAAGGAAGGAAACTTCTGCCAAGTTCATTAGGGTCAAACGCTAGAGTGCAGGAGGGGCCAGAGTCTAGAAGGGGAGAGGGGCAGGCCTGCTGGGGGGCGGGTTCAAAACACTGCTCTCTAAGACCCTGCTTTGTGTCTGGGTCCCACCCCACCACAGTGCTCCCCTCTTCCCCACCCCACCACAGTGCTCCCCAACTCTACCACAGTGCTCCTCTCTCCCCCCACCACAGTGCTCCCTCCACTCTACCACAGTCAGCCCCCTGTGTAACTGTCACTCAAGGGTCTGAGGTCCGCCCCCTGAGCAACTGTCACTCAAGGGTCTGAGGTCCACCCCGAGCAACTGTCACTCAAGGGTCTGAGG